TAAACATATATGGACCCAACACAGGAGCACCCAGATACATAAGGCAAGTTCTTAATGACTTACAAAAGGACTTAGACTCCCACACAATAATAGTGGGAGACTTTAACACTCCACTGTCAATACTAGACAGATCAACCAGACAGAAAATCAACAAGAATATCCAGGGCTTGAACTCAGACCTGGAGCAAGCAAACCTGGTGGACATTTACAGAACTCTCCACCCCAAATCCACAGAATACACATTATTCTCAGCACCACATCACACCTACTCTAAAATTGACCACATAATTGGAAGTAAAGCACTGCTCAACAAATGCAAAACAACTGAAATCATAACAAACAGCCTCTCAGACCATAGTGCAATCAAGTTAGAACTCAGAATTCAGAAACCCACCCAGAACCGCACAGCTTCATGGAAACTGAAAAACTGGCTCTTGAATGTTGACTGGGTAAACAATGAAATAAAGTCAGAAATAAAGAAGTTCTTCGAAACCAATGAGAACGAAGACACAACATGCCAGAACCTCTGGGACACATTTAAAGCAGTCTCTAGAGGAAAGTATATAGCAATAAGTGCCCATATGAGGAGAATGGAGAGATCCAAAATTGCCACCCTATCGTCAAAATTGAAAGAGCTAGAGGAGCAAGATCAAAAAAACTCAAAACCCAGCAGAAGACAAGAAATTACTAAGATCAGAGCTGAACTGAAGGAGATTGAGATACGAAAAACCCTTCAAAAAATCAATAAATCCAAGAGCTGGTTTTTTGAAAAGATCAACAAAATAGACAGACCACTAGCCAGATTGATTAAAAAAAAGAGAGAGAACAACCAAATAGATGCAATAAAAAATGATAAAGGGGAAATCACCACAGATTCCACAGAAATTCAAACCATCATCAGAGAATATTACAAACAACTCTATGCGCATAAACTAGTAAACCTGGAAGAAATGGATAAATTCCCGGACTCCTGGGTCCTCCCAAGCCTAAACCAGGAGGAAGGTGAAACTATGAATAGACCAATAACAAGGTCTGAAGTTGAGGCAGCAATTAAGAGCCTACCTCACAAAAAAAGCCCAGGTCCAGACGGGTTCACAGCCGAATTCTACCAGACACACAAGGAGGAGCTGGTACCATTCCTTCTAAAACTATTTCAAACAATCCAAAAAGAGGGAATCCTTCTCAAATCATTTTATGAGACCAACATCATCCTGATACCAAAACCCGGCAGAGACCCAACGAGAAAAGAAAACTTCAGGCCAATATCCATGATGAACATAGATGCAAAAATCTTCAATAAAATATGGGCAAGCCGATTGCAACAGCAAATCAAAAAACTTATTCATCATGATCAAGTAGGATTCATCCCGGGGATGCAAGGCTGGTTCAACATACGCAAGTCTATCAACATAATTCACCACATAAACAGAACCAAAAACAAAAACCACATGATTATCTCAATTGATGCAGAGAAGGCATTTGACAAAATTCAACAGCCCTTTATGCTAAAAACCCTCAATAAACTCGGTATCGATGGAACGTATCTCAAAGTAATAAAAGCTATTTATGACAAACCAACAGCCAATATCATACTGAATGGGCAAAAACTGGAAGCATTCCCTTTGAAATCTGGCACTAGACAAGGATGCCCTCTCTCACCTCTCCTATTCAATATAGTACTGGAAGTTCTAGCCAGAGCAATCAGGCAAGAAAAAGAAATAAAGGGTATTCAAATAGGAAAGGTGGAAGCCAAATTGTCTCTATTTGCAGACGACATGATAGTATACCTAGAAGACCCCATTGCCTCAGCCCAAAAACTCCTGAAACTGATAAACAACTTCAGCAAAGTCTCAGGATATAAAATCAATGTGCAAAAATCACAAGCATTTGTCTACACCAATAACAGACTTAAAGAAAGCCAAATCAAGAGCGAACTGCCATTCACAATTGCTACAAAAAGAATAAAATACCTTGGAATACAACTCACAAGGAACGTAAGGGACCTCTTCAAGGAGAACTACAAACCACTGCTCAACGAAATCAGAGAGGACACAAACAGATGGAGAAACATTCCATGTTCATGGTTAGGAAGAATTGATATCATGAAAATGGCTATACTGCCCAAAGTAATTTACAGAATCAACGCTATCCCCATCAAGCTACCATTGACTTTCTTCACAGAACTGGAAAAAACCACCATGAACTTCATATGGAACCAAAAGAGAGCCCGCATAGCCAAGTCAATTCTAAGCAAAAAGAACACAGCGGGGGGCATCACACTACTGGATTTCCAACTATACTACAAGGCTACAGTAATCAAAACAGCATGGTACTGGTACCAAAACAGAGATATAGACCAATGGAACAAAACAGAGGCACCGGAGGCAACACAACATACATACAACTATACAATCTTTGATAAACCTGACAAAAACAAGCAATGGGGCAAGGATTCCATGTTTAACAAATGGTGTTGGGAAAACTGGCTAGCCATGTGCAGAAAGCAGAAACTGGACCCCTTCCTGACACATTACACTAAAATTAACTCCAGATGGATTAAAGACTTAAACATAAGACCTGGCACCATAAAAACCCTAGAAGGAAATCTAGGCAAAACTATCCAGGACATAGGAGTAGGCAAGGACTTCATGAACAAAACACCAAAAGCATTGGCAACAAAAGCCAAAATAGACAAATGGGACCTAATGAAACTCCACAGCTTCTGCACGGCAAAAGAAACAGTCACTAGAGTGGATCGGCAACCAACAGAATGGGAAAAAATTTTCGCAGTCTACCCATCTGACAAAGGGCTGATATCCAGAATTTACAAACAACTCAAGCAGATTTACAGGAAAAAAACAAACAAGCCCATTCAAAAGTGGGCAAAGGATATGAACAGATACTTTACGAAAGAAGACATATATGAGGCCAACAGTCATATGAAAAAATGCTCATCGTCACTGGTCATCAGAGAGATGCAAATCAAAACCACATTGAGATACCATCTCACGCCAGTTAGAATGGCGATCATTAAAAAATCTGGAGACAACAGATGCTGGAGAGGATGTGGAGAAAAAGGAACACTTTTACACTATTGGTGGGAGTGTAAATTAGTTCAACCATTGTGGAAGACGGTGTGGCGATTCCTCAAGGCCTTAGAAATAGAAATTCCATTTGACCCAGCAATCCCATTACTGGGTATATATCCAAAAGACTATAAATCGTTCTACTATAAGGACACATGTACACGAATGTTCATTGCAGCACTGTTTACAATAGCAAAGACCTGGAAGCAACCCAAATGCCCATTGATAATAGACTGGATTGGAAAAATGTGGCACATATACACCATGGAATATTATGCAGCAATCAGAAATGATGAGTTCGTGTCGTTTGTAGGGACATGGATGAATCTGGAGAACATCATCCTCAGCAAACTGACACAAGAACAGAAAATGAAACACCGCATATTCTCACTCATAGGTGGGTGATGAAAAATGAGAACACATGGACACAGAAAGGGGAGTACTAAACACTGGGGTCTATTGGGGGGAAAAGGGGAGGGCCAGTGGGAGGGGGAGGAGGGGAGGGATAGCCTGGGGAGAAATGCCAAATGTGGGTGAAGGGGAGAAGAAAAGCAAAGCACACTGCCTTGTGTGTACCTACGCAACTGTCTCGCATGCTCTGCTCATGTACCCCAAAACCTATAATCAAATAAAAAATTAAAAAAAAAAAATAAATTAAAAAAATAAATTAAAAAAAAAAGATATATGTATATACTGGGTCAAAATGTAAAGTACATCTTTTTCTATGATTTAAAAAAGTTTTTAAAAAATCCACTGGGTCATAATTATCAATGTATGAGCTCATTGTTTAAATATTAATAAATAGCATACTAAGAAAAAAAAATAAAAAATAAATAAAATAAAATAAAAATAAAAAGGAAGGAAATTCTGACACATGCTGTAACATGGACACACCTTGAAGACATTATGCTAAGTGAAGTAAACCAGTCACCAAAGGGTAAATATCGATTCCACTTACAGAAAGCACGTAGAGTAGTCACATTTAGAAAGACAGAAAGTAGAAAGTTGGTTTCCAGGGACTGAGTGACAGGGGAAATTGGAAGTCAGTGTTTAACGGGTACGAGGTTTGAATTAGGAAAGATTAAATGGTTCTGGAGATGGATAGTGGTGTTGCACAACAATGTAGATGTATTTAACGTTACTTAACTGTTTACTTAAAAATGGTTAAAGTTGTTTGGGTGCGGTGGCTCACACCTGTAATCCCAGCACTTTGGGAGGCTGAGGCAGGCGAATCATGAAGTCAGGAGTTCGAGACTAGCCTGGCCAACATGGTGAAGCCCCATATCTACTAAAAATATACAAAATTAGCTGGGCATGGCGGCGGGTGCCTGTAATCCCAGCTACTCAGGAGGCTGAGCCAGGAGAATTACTTGAACACAGGAGGCAGAGGTTGCAGTGAGCTGAGATTGTGCCACTGCACTCCAGCCTGGGCAACAGTGCAAGACTCTGTTTCAAAAAAAAAAGGTTATTCTGGTAAATTTTAGATTTATGCATTTTGTATATTTTGCCATTGTAAAAATGTGTTTATCTCTATATCTTGTCATGTAAGGAATCAAACGTTTTGTAAATTGTTGAAAGAGAAAATAGGAATGGGAGATGGGAAGGAACATGAGATAAACCCTTGACCTACCACTTTTAAAAGGAAGATATTACTTTTATCCTGAAGAATAATATTTTTTCCAGGTTTGCGTCAATACTCCATTTAGTTAGCTAGGCCTGTAGTTGTTTTCAATGCATTTTCACTGCAGGTTTTAGGGCTATCATTGCCACCTTTGAAATCTGTGTACACAGATCATGGTAAGTCTCATTCTCTCATTTTATGAGTCAGGGTTCTTCATTAATTTAGGAAATTGTTTGTTCAATAAAGACCAATATTATTTGATAATGATCTCTGAATGCCCTGGATTATGGCAGGGATTTTACTTTGTCATAATCTCCCATGAGAACTGGCCAAACAGCTGTGAAGGCAAGAGAGAGCTACAAGGGGGCAATCGTATTCATTAAAGCAGAGCAACAAGAGAGTGAAGCTGATCAAAATGAATCTTTTCTGCATTTCGCTGGTAAGTTACTTTATTTGTACCATTTATGTTCTCATTTTAATTTTACTGTGTCAAATAAAAGGAATGAAATTGGGATATATTCTAAACTTCCTATATGAAGATATTAATACACTTAATAATCTCTGAAAGTTCACATCAAAAGGAACAGTGAGAAAGGATGCTTTCATTAAAGCACTTAAGCCAACTCTACTCAAAAACAAGTGATAAAAAGAACTGCATCAATTACTAGGTCTTTAGCATTTTGTTGCTGAATTCTGAGTATAATGTTTTGTGAACAGTATTTTTGAGAAATAGTTTTCTTCTGTTTGTTATGAGTATGAGAAAAAAATTTGCAAAATATGCAGACTTTGTGTAGCTTCCTTTGCTTTGAGATATCCCAGGAATCAAAATTTCTTCTTTGTTCTTTGAGTAGTGAATTTCTTTCAATGTTGGCTTGGTTAAACTTCCATGGAGGCAGTTTTGTGAGTTGCACCACACTGTAAATGCAAGGTACAGTAGGGTAATCCAGTCCTGAAGATATGCTTACTCAACAGTATAAGTGTCTCTCGAATTCATTTTCGCATTATTACCTTTTTTTTCCCTTATTCTGAAGTGGATCCGTGAAAGTTATCAGGTAGTCATGCATGTGAAAATACTTTATAACTCTAACCTGCATTTGTGACCATCTGCCAATACTTAAAAATGGATTTCAAAAATAATTTTATTCATTTCTATCTGTGTTTACAGCAGGGCATTATGTCTATTCATTGGTTTTTCAAGATGTCGATGGGAGATCCCTCTCATTTGGGAAAATAAAATGGTGTACTTCTGATGTTTGTTTTCTTTTCAAATTGCACATAAGATTAACATAAGCGGTAGAGATGGTGCTGACATACGTTGTAATACCTAAACAGAAGGCATTTTAAGCCAAGATAAGGGATTTAATCTTAGAGCATACTGAAAAATAAAATGCAATTGTGAGTTGTGAGAGGCTGAATCATCGAGTTCTTGTTGCCTATATAGTCCAATTTACAAAATAACTGCCAGCTCCCTACTTTGCTTTGTGCCATATAAATATGACGGCATAAATCCCATTTCAGGTGATTTAAGTGGTATTGTGCATACTTTTCTAGTTGATCTAAAAGAGCTATATGTGGTTTATATGAATATACCTCCCATGGAAAGAGGCAGTGTAGCACCAAAGATGATTGCATTCTGAAATTATTTTGAATGGTAATATAATCAGTATGGCAATGTTTCTATAACATAGCATGGTGTGACATACGTTTGTAATGCTGCTGCTAAAGATGTATAACCATATAATGAGCTTGATTGTCTTCCTCTGTGATACAGGGAATGGAGCGCTTACTTGAAAAGGATTGCCTCAAAGTCCTGGCTCATGGACTCAATAACTCTTTTCTATCTGTTAAAGTTGTCCTTAAGAAGTTACTTGCTCAGAAGTATAATATATTAGACGAAACCATCAAGAATTCTGGTCTTTTGTTGAATCATTGCAAAGTTTATGTTATCAAATTCAATTGCTTTAATAAGAAAATGTGTACAAGGTTCTTGGAAAAAATAAACATTATCTTAGGTGTTTTTTTATTCCTTCTTGTGGAATAAATATGCAGAATAATTTAGCATAGGTTCTCAGCCAGGGTGTTGTGACACCCTACTGTGCTGTTATAAGCTTTGAAGAAGGGGTGGGATTACAGCTCTTGCCAGGATTTTATGCAAAATCCAAAACATATTTTATCCATGCCTGTAGGAATGTGAACATGTCGGACACTGCATTTAAGAAAAGAGAAGAAAACCACTGATTTAGTGGAAAGATTTCTGAATTGTAAAGAATGAAAGTATATGTAAATACATTGACCTTTAAATCTCTGGGAAGCAGATGATTTTAAACAATATGTGTCACATAAAGATTACCACTAACGAAAGAATGTAAGAGTTAAACATCTCTTATTTAAGTGTAGGGGAAAATTGTAAATCTTTTGGTAAATGGGGTTTTTAAGAGAAATATAAAGGCAGAAACTTAATGAACTACCCATTCTGAACCAAGGATACTATAAATAATCTATTAATGGTGATTGCTATTATTTTGGATCTATAAACTTGAAATGGGCTCTATCTTTCAAAAAGGAGGCAGAAATACCCTTTTATATATGCCATTGTGACTCCACGTTTTTTCTTAGAGTTTTACGTGTGATGAGGCTTTTAGAAAACTTGCTCATTTGAAGCCTGGTGATTTTTCTTGTTGAGCTCATCATATAGTAACTGCATTTAACATGTTTTTGTAACCAATGAGGTTACAAATCAATTATCCCTGCACAATTTCTTCAATAATTTGAAATGCTATCTCTGTCTTTATTTGGACTCTTTATTCTATCCCATTGGCTTATTTCTATCCCTTTCCTTTTACTTGTTCTTTTAAACACCTATTAAGATATTAATAATTCTACTGCCAAGTAGATGTCTTACTCAGAAGAATACCCTGCTCTGCATTTGTCCTTCAAAGTTTGGATTTTGTCTTTTTTTAAAATATAAACTTAGATTCATATTATCAAATAATCTGAAAATCTTGGATGGGATTTTGACTGAAATGAATTTGAATTTTATACCATTTTTAGAGGAAACTGACTTCATTATGGTGTTAGGTCTTTTTATCCACAAACATAGATAATTCTTTACTTATTCAATACTTTCATAGCCTCGAATAATTTTTTATAATTTTCCCTATGATAGCTTGCACATCTTTTGTTAAATTTATTGCTAGGGATCTAAAAATTTGGATGCCATTGTGAATGTTTTTACCAAGTTTGTTTATGCTGACTTAGAGATACATTGTTAGTATGTTGATACCCAAATAAATAATTTTGCTGATCTTAAGGAATTCTGATAGATATTTTGTGGTTTTCTCAGATTATCTGTGTAAATAATTTATAAATTATTCCCTTCTTTAGCATTTATATTATTCTCAACTTCTTTATCATCCATAATATTGACAAGTAGGAATGCTATAATAGCAGTCATCCTACTCTTATTTCTAATGCTCATATAATTATTTATAATTTAGTTTTCATGAGGAAATGTGTATTAAATAACCCTACTCAGGTTAAGGAAGTCCTGTCTTTTCCTATTTGCTAAGATTTTGACGTGAGTAAACATTAAAAGTTTTCAAGTGCCTTAAATATTTATTGAGATGAACTTCTTTTTAAATATTTAATGTATATTTAAATATTAAAGCATTCTTGCATTCCTGTATTAAACACTGATTGGTCATAATGTGGTTTTAGATGCACTATTTGATTTTGTTGATATTTTGCTTAGGATTAAGAAAACTATGGGCCTGTAATCCCAGGATTTTGGGAGGCCGAGGTGGGTGAACCAACAGAAGTCAGGAGTTCGAGACCAACCTAGCCAATGTAGTGAAACTCCATCTTTTCTAAAAATACAAAAATTAGCTGGGTGTGGGGGCAGGCACCTGTAATCCCAGCTGCTAGGGAGGCTGAGGCAGGAGAATCGCTTAAACCCAGAAGGTGGTTTCAGTGAGCCAAGATCACACCATTGCACTCCAGCCTGGGTAACAAGAGCGAAACTCCGTCTCAAAACAAACAAACAAACAAAACAAACAAAAAAACAAGGGAAACAACAACAAAAAATAAAGTATGTTAATACTTAAAATTGATCTTTTTTTCTTACATTAACAAAAAAGTTCCATTTTCTTTTTATTCTGTTAGTAGCATTTTGTCATCTTTCAATACATCTTCCAACCTTTTACCTGTGTGTTTCATATGTTTTCTATTTATCCTTCTATGCTGCACCCTAAATGAACTCAGCATTTTCTAATTCTCTCTTTTGAAAGGTCTAGAGTTCATTTCAATTTTTGATTATTTAATATAAATTTCTGTGATTATATTATTCATTTTCAAGGCTTTGTAATTTGTTCTTTGTTCCTATTTAATGATTTCCATTTCATCATAAATTATTTCTTTTTAATCAAATATTACTTTTTCATTTAGCTCTTTGAAGATTATATATATTCTTTCTTATATTGTCTCTCCATCTGTTTTATGATTTTAATTTCATCTGGAATGAATTGGTTTAATTATCTGATTGTCAATTCAGTTGGCTCTCCTTCTCAGCATTTGATCTCTTCATGTGCTTTGGATAATTTAGAATCACAACTCTTTCCTGTTGCGCTCTCGCTCTGTCTCTCTCTCTCTCTCTCTCTCTTTTTCCTAGCTTCGTCACCTTTCTTTATCTATTAGTGAAGCAAAATCTCGTGTTTCTCTGATGCCCCAATTAAAAACCAGAGCTGGTCCAGAGATCTCACTCCAAGACAATATATGGACTATTACTGATATAGACACTAAACCATTGGTATATTCTGTTTTATATCCTGTTTTTCTGGCCATGTTGTAGAATTTTGCTTTTCAGTTCCATGGCTTCCTGTGAGCAAGAGCCCTAACAGCTGTTGGCAAAAGCTTTTTTCAGACCCCTTTCAACCACTGCTACTATAGACCCTGTATTTCCCTCATGGAGCTTGCCTTATGTAGAGGACATATATTGTATGCTACCCCTCACGGTTTAAGATCTGCCTGATGTTGTCTGTTTTTGAGTGGAAGCTTTATATGTCTAAAACTTTAATTTCACTCACGACTTTGGGTTTCTCTTAGGTTTCCCTACATGTTTATGTATAGAGTACTCATTACTTCCTTAGTTCTTCATCATTTTCCCAGTAGTTTGTGATGTGTTTGGAACAGGGGTTACTTAAAAGAGGAAACAGCAAATTATATTGGCTGAAAGTTCAAAAGACAGACAAGGCATCCAGTCTTCCCTTTACTTACCCGTTAATACACCTAGAACATTTCAATATACTAAGCATATACTGTATACCTCTCTCTTTTAAGACTGCTTCTAGATAATGTCATAACTAGATAATTCTTTCAAAAAGTCAATTTGATTAATAAGTTTGCTTTCCAAACACAAACAAGTTACAGTATATTACACAATGGTTTTAAATCCAATTACATGTATTTTAAATTCATTTTACAAGGATAAAAATGAATAAAATAATATTTTCAATATTGACATTCTAAACATTAATATTAATTCCTTGACTGTATTTGTAAAATATTTTTGCTATTTCAAAGCATATCTTGTATTTATTTTATCCTTATAGCTCCTTGGTAAGGTGAATGAAACTGCTGTGTGTGTGTGTGTGTGTGTGTGTGTGTGTGTGTGTTGCAGTGTGTATCATTTGCCGTTGGTTTTTTTTTCATTCTTTCAAATTTTTAAAATTTTTGTAAGTACACAGTAGATACATGTATTTATGGAGTACATGAGATGATTTGATACAGACATGCAATGTGAAATAAGCACATCATGGAGAATGGGGTATCCATCCCCTCAAACATTAGTCCTTTGAGTTAAAAACAACCCAGTCACACTCTTTAAATTATTTTAAAATGTAATTAAGTTATTGTTGACCATGGTCAATCTATTGTGCTATAAAATAGTAGGTTGTATTCATTCAATTTTTTTGTCTGTTAACCATCCCCAGCTTACCCCCAGCACCCCACTACTCTTCCTAGCCTCTGGTAACCATCCTTCTAATCTCTATGTCCATGAGTCCAGTTGTTTTGATTTTTAGATACCACAAGTAACTGAGAACATGCAATGTTTGTCTTTCTTTGCCTGGATTATTTCACTTAATATAATCACTTCCAGTTCCATTTATGTTGTTGCAAATAACTGGATTTCATTCTTTTTTATGGCTGAACTGTACTCCATTGTTTTTATGTACCACATTTTCTTTATCCATTCATCTATTGGTAGACACTTAGCTGTCACCCAAATCTTAGATTGTAACAGTGCTGCAACAAACATAGGAGAGCAAATATCTGTTTGATATACTGTTTTCCTTTTTGCGAGGTATATAACCAGTAGTGAGACTGCTGGATCATATGTTAGCTCAATTTTTAGGTTTTTGGGGAACCTCCAAATGGTTCTCCTTAGTGGTTGTACTGATTTATATTCACACCAACAGTGTACAAGTGTTCCTTGTTCTCCATATCTTCACCAGAATTTGAAAGTGTCTGTCTTTTTTATATAATCCATTTTAACAAGGGTGAGATAATATCTCATTGTAGTTTTGATTTGCCTTTCTCTGATGATCAATGATGTTGAGCATTTTTCATAATTCTGTTTGCCATTTGTATGTCTTCTTTAGAGAAATGTCTATTCAAATCTTTTGCCCATTTTTGATCAGATTATTAGACTTTTTCCTATAGAGTTGTTTGAGTTTCATGTATATTCTAGTTATTAATCTCACATCAGATGGATATTGTGCAAATGTTTTCTCCCATTCTGTGGGTTCTTTCTTCACTTTGTTGATTGTATCTTTTGCTGTACAGGAGTTTTTCAACATGTGATCCCACTTGTCTAGTTTTGCTTTGGTTGCCTATACTTGTGGGGGATTGCTCAAGAAATCCTTTCCCAGACCAATGTTTTGAAGATTTTTCCCTAATGTTTTCTTGTAGTTTCATAGTTTGAGGTCTTAGATTTGAGTGTTGAACCCATTTTGATTTTATTTTCTATGTTAATAGATGGAGGCCTAATTTCATTATTCTGCATATGAACATTTAGTTTTTCTGGCAATATTTATTGAAGAGACTATCTTTTCCCTAGTGTATGTTCTTTACAGCTTTGTCAATAATGAGTTCACTGTAGGTGTGCCAATGGGTTTCTGGGTTCTCTATTATGTTACATTGGTCTGTGTGTCTGTTTTTATTTTTCTGACCTTTTTAAAAAAATTATACTTCAAGTTATGTGGTGCATGTGCAGAATAGGCAGGTTTGTTACACAGGTATACATGTGCCATGCTGGTTTGCTGCACCCATAAGTCCACAATCTGCATTAGAAATTTCTCCTAATGCTATCCCTACCCCATCCTCCACTTCCCAACAAGCCTCAGTGTGTGATATTCCCTTCCCTATGTCCATGGGTCCTCATTGTTCAACTCCCACCTATGAGTGAGAACATGCTGTGTTGTTAGTTTGCTGAGAATAATGGTTTCCAGATTAATCCATGTCCCTGCAAAGGATATAAACTCATCCTTTTTTTATGACTGCACAGTTTGTGCCACATTTTTGTTATCCAGTCTATCATCGCTGGGCATTTTGGTTGTTTCCAAGTCTTTGCTATTGTGAACAGTGCTGCAATAAACATACATGTCCATGTGTCTTTATAGTAGAGTGATTTATAATCCATTGGATATATAACAAGTAATGGGATTGCTGAGTCAAATGGTATTTCTAGTTCTAGATTTTTGAGGAATCACCACACTGTCTTCCACAATGGTTGAACTAATTTACACTCCCACCAACAGTGTAAAAGCATTCCTATTTCTCCACATCCTCTCCAGCACCTGTTGTTTTCTGACTTTTTAATGATTGCCATTCTAACTGGCAAGAGATGGTATTTCAGTGTGGTTTGGATTTGCATTTCTCTAATGACCATTGATAATGAGCATTTTTTCATGTCTATTGGCTGCATAAATATGTTTTTTTGAGAAGTGTCTGTTCAAATCCTTCAGCCACTTTTTGATGGGATGGTTTTTTTCTTATACATTTGTTTAAGTTCTTTGTAGATTCTGGATATTAGTCCTTTGACCAATGGATAGATTGCAAAAGTTTTCTTCCATTCTGTAGGTGGCCTGTTCACTCTAATTATAGTTTCTTTTGCTGTTCAGAAGCTCTTTTGTTAAATTAGATCCCATTTGTCAATTTCGGTTTTTCTTGCTATTGCTTGTGGTGTTTTAGTCATGAAGTCTTTGCCTATGCCTATGTCCTGAATGGGATTGCCTATTTTTTCTTCTAGGGTTTTTACGGTTTTAGGTCTTACATTTAAGTCTTTAATCCATCTTGAGTTAATTTTTATATAAAGTGTAAGGAAGTAATGCAGTTTCAGTTTTCTGCATATGGCTGGCCTGTTCTTTGAACTTAATGTTTTAAACATGCCTCTTGAGGAATTCCCTCATTGTGTGCCTGCCTCTGCAACATTTAGAATCTTTTAAATTCTTGGCTCCATAATAATGGTGGGAATAATAACTCCTGGCTGTGTAATAATTCCTGGTTTTACTGTATTGTTCAGTGTTGAAAATTAGCATACTGTAAACTCTTAATCCCTATGCCCAGGGTAATTTAATAAAGTACTATATAAAGGTGGGTGGATAAATTAGGTATCTTTTCAAGGAAAATAATTATTCTGTTATTTCTTAACTCATAAATCTCTGTATTGCAGGAAGGTTCTATGGATAGCTTATATGAGCCGATCCCAGAGCAACAAGCTAACCAAGAAAGCATGTCCAGTAGAACTGATTCTCCTATCCCACCCTTTGGAGAGAGTGAACAATCACCTAACAGTCTCTTCATGGTGAGTGAAGCATTGACTTGACTGAATTTTTCTCTCTATTATATATCTAGAATCTATTGCTCAATGATACCTGTTAATACAGCAAAAATTCACTGTTCTCAGAAACTTATTCATTTTCCTTTAGTTTCTGATTTTCTCTTTCTTGTTGTCTTTTTTATGATTTGGAGTTCTTACTGTGAACTACCATTTACTGAATGAGCAATAGATGATTATATAGTTAATTCCATTCCCAAAGCAACCTTATGACTATAAATAATTATATCATTTTCTATATTTGGAAGTTGCAAGAAAGAAAGGCAAGATAAGCTACTAAAGGCTATAAACCATTAAGTGTTAAAGTTGACATTTAAACAGATATGTGTCTGAATCAGTAGTTTCTGGTAAACCAGGTGTTGGAGGGGAGACCTAGATTCATAGCATTTGTCAATTTCTATGGTGTAAATGCCTCACCATGGCCAATGTCAAGCTGCCCATGGTTTAACTACAGGTTTGCAATATCTGAATATTTAGTTAATAATTATCTCAAGGGCTGATTCTAGCGTATCACTGGCTGCTTTCAAAGTTTATTTTCTAACCACTGTAATAAATTGTTTTTTGAACTTACGGATACACACCATCATTTCTAAAAGGTAAGTGTTACAAAAATGCAAATGTAAATTGTTTTGTGAATTATCTTTAAAATTACTAGAGATAGAGTTCTCTGCATTATACAAAATTGTACCTGTCCCTCCTATTTAACAGTGCTGGCTATTCCAACTCTTAGGCAATTGAGCTGTATTTAAAATACAGTCGACCCTTGAACAACATGGGTTCAAGCTGTGCAGGTCCACTTACACGCAGATTTTCTTTCACCTCTGCCACAACTCCTCCTATTTGTCCCCCTCCTCAGCCTACTCAATGCGAAGATGACAGGATAAAGACCTTTATGATGATCCACTTCCACTTCATGAATAATAAACGTATTTTCTCTTCCTCATGTTCTTAATAACATTTTCTTTTCTCTAGCTTGCTTTCTCATAAAATACGGTATATAATATATATAACATACAAAATATGTATTGATTGACTATTTATGTTATCAGTAAGACTTTCAGTCAATAGTAGGCTATTAGTAGTTACACTTCTGGGGAGTCAAAAGTTATATGAAAATTATGGACTGCAAAGGGTGTCAGCAACTCTAACCTCCATGTTGTTAAAGGGCCAACTATAATTTAATACATATAAACTTCTTTTACTTGTGTTGTGGCTCAGGACAATACAAAACAGCCTATGTCTACTACAGATAAACAACGTCCCTATATTTACAGATTTAGATGCCACTTCCTGCCCTTATAATCACACTTTTCCTGATAACACAAAAAATAATTTTAGCTATCATTTATTTAATGCCTTATTTTTGTAAGGTAATATATGTATACATGAAATTATGTTATTCTCACAACTTAGGGAGTTGTGAGATTTTAGAGAGATTTAGAAATCTCTGATTTTTCTCTTTCAAAATGTTCTGTTTCAAAATTTCTCAAAATGTTGAAAAATTTTAAATAACTTGCCCTCTCAAAAAGAGAATGCACCAGAATTCAAACTCAGATCTTTTTTGCTTAATGGGAAGGATAACAACAAATTACTTTTAAGTTTTGTACTTACCTTCACGCATACCTATTTTGTTCTTTGGGTACATTAAAAATGGCTTATTATCATAGCTTTCAAAGTTTAGATTTCTTAGAAGCTTAGAGCAACTAGAAGCAATGCTGGAAAGCAAGTTTAACAATAAGTCTCCGTAACTTAAAAATAAAACAAAAACATTTTTTAATGCAGTGGAAACTCTTCCCTTAACCTTACAACTTTTTGAATATCCCTAAGATGTTGGTGTTGCTAGATATGCCTAAGAGGAGCTTATGATATTTTGTACATATTAATGTGAGCGAGATAAACCATACACATGAAGGCTGTCAACTGACATTGCAAATTGTTTATAAGCATTTTCACCCTGTAATTAATTATAAAGAAAAATTGTATAGGCTGAAGAGCCTGAAGACATTTTCTTAAATGTGTGAGTTTAGTTTTCAAACTTCATTTATATTGCAAAATTAGACGAGAATATAAAAACATGATTTAAATTGCTATAGCTCTCTCTCTCTGTAATTTCTCAACATTTAATAAAAAATGTATGTATAAATACAAACGTATGTATGCATGTATGTATACATACTGAAAAGTCAGTTCAATCCTTGATTTCACCTTTTAGTAGTTGAATTATGCCATTCCAATCAAATTATTATTGACACTTATTATATTCCTAATAAAAATTATTTCACAGCTTAGATAAATAAAATCAGGTTTTTAATAATGAAATTAAAATATTTATCTGCTTTCTTAGTATCCCTAGTTAATGGTTTGGAGAGTACCTAAATTTCTCTCAGTCTTTGAAGAACATAGTTTTTTCCCTTTCTTCTGGTATTGATGCTTCCTTCCCCTGTCCTGATGTAAAGAAACAAAAAAATTTTGGACCAGATTTAACAGTACCATAAAAAGGATCGTTCCTTTTGGACTGGCTCTTCAGAAGTACTTTGAAATCATCCCTAAAGCTAATGGAGTCCTGGCTCAAGCTCCCAGTCCTCAATCCAGGTATCTGTAAACTTCTCAGAGAACAGAGGTACTCAAACAATTTCTAGAATCAACCTGACAATACGGCTGTTTGTTACAGAGGAAACTATAGCCCTTAATAAAAATAACATCAGTTGCCACCTGAATTGAAAAGGAAAATCAAAATGAGAGAAGAATCCTTGGCTTTTGGCTTTCCTTATGAAATATTTTATTTATCCATACTTACTAGGAATTTTACCCTTTGGATATCACTGCTTTGAACATGGTGGGGGTCCCATAGATGAATGAACATAAGACAATAAATGTTCTCAAAGCAGATGATCCAGTGTAGCCCATATGTACAATTATGGGTAGTAGAGGTATTGGACAAAAATAATTTTATTGGGGGGTTTCAAATGAAGAATATCATACATCATCATAAATATCTAGTTTGTATCTTAATTGGAGTTTCAGGAAGGGTCAATAATGAAAAGCTCATCCAAAGAGAAACCAATTTAAGATATGGAACATTATTAAATGTTTAACGAGGAATAGCAAGTGATCCACTTGCGGTATATTAAGGAAGGCATAAAGTGTTGGAGGACAACTGCCAAAAACTAGTGGGAGTGAACAAGCCCGTGGCTAAATAAACATGCCAAAAAATTAAATAAATAAACTAACATATTAGCCTAAGGACTGATCATTCCATTATGTTATTTCAAATGTAGCCTATAACTGCTTGAATCTGTATCTATTTTAGTACCTCTTGTGTCTAAAGCCAATAAAGTATTTGAATTAGAAAAAGCATGAGAATGCTATGGTTTGAATGTCTCTCCTAAAGTTCATGTGTTGGAAATTTAATCCTCAGTCAAATCATATTGACAGGTGGGACCTTTAAGAGGTGATCAATAGATGATGAGGGCTCTACTCTCACAAATGGACTAATGTCGTTATCATGAGAGTGAGTTTGTTATCGAGAGTGGGTTTGTCATAAAAGCAAGTTTGGCCCTCTTTACTTCTCTTTGTCTTGACCTCTATGCCCTTTTGCTTTCTGCCATGCAGTGACACAGTAAGAAGGCCCTCATGAGATGTGGCCCCTCTGTCTTGAACTTCTCAGCTTCCAGAACTGTGAGCCAGTAAATTCCTGTTTGCTATAAATTACCCATTCTCAGGTATTCTCTTATAGCAACACAAAACAGATTAAAACAGAGAACATAAAATGTTTGTATCTCTGCCAATTTGGGGTTAACTGGATCAAGCCTGAATTATCTGACTTGCTGTTTATATTGATTGAGGTCAGCAAATAATTGTCAATTTTTTCTTCATTTTGTATCTCATAAATTAAATTGATAGAAAATTTGAACCTTTTAAAAAATGTGCTTCAACGTGGGTCAAAGGCAATGTTCCTATTATTTATGTCTTGTGTATAGTGGTCATTCAATAAATATTTGTAAGCTAAATAAATGTATCGTGAAGCTTCATTACTCAAGCTAAAGAAAGTCTTAGTGATAGCGGAGAGCCGATGATGCAGCGGATAAAATTGTCAGCTTTGGAGTTGAGCAGTTATGGATTCTCTTTCTAGCTCTGTCACTTAGACGCTCCGTGACCTTGAAAAGTTTCTCAAAGTCTTGCAATCTCCATTTCCTTATGGTATAGAATGAGGTGAATAATGTTCTGTATAAATTTGCCAAATTCCAATGTGGAAAGCAGAATCTACTCTTGCGACTATAAGCAGGCAGGATTTAGCACAGAAGTTAGAGAACCCTCAGAAGGGCTGATTTTCATACTCTAGAGTAGGGACCGAAAATCATAGCCTGAGGCAGCCTGTAAACGTACTGTGCATAAGCTAAAAATGGCTTTTACATTTTTAAAAGTATCTTTAAAAACAGAAACAAAAATAAGGGAGACAATAAAATGCAACAGAAACTGTGTCTCACAAACTTAAATATTTCTATCTGATTTTTCACAGAAAAACTTTGCTACACTAGAGTTACACTGGACAACCACAGGTGGAAATTGAGTACTTGATAAGTGGCTAGTCCATATGAAAAGGATGAGTTCATATCCTTTGCAGGGACATGGATGAAGTTGGAAACCATCATTCTCAGCAAACTAACACAACCAAATGCCACATGTTCTCACTCATAAGTGGGAGTAGAACAATGAGAACACAGGGAGGGAAACATCACACACTGGGGCCCATTGGGGGATGGGGGCTAGGGAAGGATAGCATTAGAAATACCTAATGTAGATAACGGGGTGATGGATGCAGCAAACCACCACAGCACATGTATACTTATGTAACAAACCTGCACATTCTTCATCTGTATCCCAGATCTTAAAGTGTAATCATAGTTTTTTAAAAAGTGGCTAGTCCAAATGCAGATAGACAATAAGTGTAAAATATATGTTTTAAA